GGTTTACTTAAACATGAAGCTATTTTATTTTAAAAAAATTAATATAAATATAAGAGTACATATGGCAAAAAAAAACAATACTACATCCTATTATACTAAAACTATTTATAAAGCAAGGTACCACATTCAAAGTCAAACTGAAACTGAAATATTGAAACACATTAAATAAAATCTAAAAAAATTAGTTTGGAAATTTTGTTACACATGTTTGGTATTTGATATTGTAATGTATTCTGTTGTGATTTTTCCCTACAAATAAAAGAAAATATGTTAATACAATGGTTGTACTAGATTAATACAAATTTATAATCATATTTGTTTGTTTTGTATCAAATAATTCATTTATTACCTTTCAAAGTACATGGTTTTATGACACCCATAATCCTTCATTGTGATCTGACCTTAAGTAAGTAGTGTCGTCAACCTCATCATTTGAAGATGGAATGCTGATAAAAAATGGGGGTAGCTCGTCAAACTAATCGTACTCTTCCTTGTCCACAACATCATCAACACCAAGTATATGTCGTTTCCATGCAGGACGATGTACTTTTTCGAGTCTTTTCAGTCCTCAACATAGAACATTTGGCTAGCTTGTTTAGCTAGAATGAATGGTTCTGATACATAACTATTTATGGAAAGGTCAACAATTGTAAAACATCATTGTCAACTTTAACACCTCGTTGGTTGTCAACCCATTTGCACTTGAGCATAAGTATAATGATGGTATCATATTTTAATTCCAATATTTATTGAATGACACCATAATACGACTCTTTAGCTATCCTTGACCTTGCATCATGATTATCTCCATATTATTCTCTTGAGGCTATTAACGTTACTCCACTATTTTGAAGTGTACTTTTTTTTATCTTGTTGGTTAGTGTAGAATGTATAACCATTAATGTCGTACCCTTGGTACGCTGTCACAACATGTTCGGGACCATTTGCTAGATGTACCACAACTTGATCAACATTGTTCACGCCATAACTTGTGTTCACTTTGTCTTTTAACCATTGTGAGAATGTTTTGTTATGTTCTGTAATCAACCATCTTTTGCTCTTACCACTATTCGACATTTCTATATATCTTTTTTTCTTGTTTACGTATGGAGCAATGATCTTCATATGTTATAGGACTGTAAAATGTGCCAGATGCAAGTCTTCTTTATTTGGAGTTAGTCGTTCAATCCAATTGTCCCGTATCCTACAAGTCTACCCTCATGTCGAGATTTCGGTATGCCAATACTTCTAACACCTTGTAAATAGTCACTACAATATTTAATCACCTCCTCTGTCGCGTATCCTTCTACAATACTATCATCTGGTCGATATCTATTCCTTACATACCTTTTTAAGACACCTATATATCTCTCAAATGGATACATGTATCGTAGGTATACCGACCCATAGTACTTTATCTCTCTAACAATATGAGATATTAGATGAACCATGATATCAAAAAATGAAGGTGGGAAATACCTCTCAAGCAGGCATAACGTCAAGATAATATCAATTTTCCATGAATCTAACACTTCAGGATCATTAACTTTTGAATGAATCATGTTGAAAAACAAACATAACTTTGTGATTGTATGTCAAAGGCGATCTGGTAATATTCCGCGAATTGCAATAGGAATCATGTGGGCCATCAAAACATGACAACCATGAGACTTTATACCAAGAAGTTTTAGTTCACTCATTGACACTACCTTCTTAATGTTAGCAGAATAGCCGGATGGAACCTTCACATCATGCAAGCACTTGCAAAAATTTGTTTTCTCGGCCTTTAACATGGTATAACAAGCTACTGGAAGATACGTATGATTTCCAATATTCTTAGTAAGAGCAAGCTCGGGTCGAATCCCCATTTCAACGATGTCATCTCGAACATTAACCCCACCTTTTGTTTTTCCCTTGATGTTTAACAATAAGGCTATCAAGATTTCACAAACATTTTTTTTGATATGCATAATGTCAAAGACAATGTTGAACATGCAAGTGCTTCCAATATGGTAAATCCCAAAATATAGATCTTTTCATCCAAATATTATTTTCTAGAGAAGTTGTACCTTTACCTTTACCATTACGTTTATGTTTTCGTTTCCCTTTACCTTTTGTTTTTCCGAATGTAATGTTTAGATTTTCAACACGGGAAAACTCAATTTCTCCTCGTAACGGTGGCCTTGCTATCGTGCTCTCGGTTTTACCATTAAACACTTTTTTTTCTTACGATACGGATGGTTATTTGGAAGATATCTTCGATGATCCATGTATACATTTTTCTTGCAATTTTTCAACCATACCGATTGTGTGTCAACTTCACATACTGGACATGCCTTTGACCCCTTTGTACTGTATCCAAATAAATTCCCATATGCTGGGAAATCACTTATGGTGAAATAAATCATGGCCCGAAGTTGGAAATTTTCCCTACTATATGCATCATACACTTTGACACCTAGACTCCACAACTTTTTATGTCCTCGATTAATGGAGATAAATAAACATCAATGTCATTTCCTGGTTGCTTTGGACCTTGAATTAGCAGTGACATCATGATGTATCTTCTTTTCATACATAACCAAGGCGGAAGATTGTAGATGCAAATAAGAACTGGCTATGTACTATGGCGGCTGCTCAAGCTTCCAAATGAATTAATGCCATCAGAACTAAGTCCAAACCTAATATTTCTAATATCCTGACCAAATTCCTCAAACTTAGAATTGATATTTCTCCATTGAGGAGAATCTGCAACATGGCTTATTTTCTCGTCTATTGTACACTCCTCAGCATGCCACTGCATCAAATTTGCATCTTTAGCGTTTGCAAATAACCGTTTTAATCTTGGAATGATAGGCAAATACCATAAGACTTTAGCAGACGATCCACTCATTCTCATATTATTGTTTTTTTCAGTAGGATTTTTCCTTTTGTATCGTGATGTACCACAAGTAATACAACTATGTAGATCTACATAGTCGTTTCGATACAACATACAATCATTTGGGCAAGTATGTATTCTTTCAATTTCCATTCCCATTGGACACATCAATTTTTTTGATTGCTATGTGGACACGAGTTGCTCGTTATGATCTGAAAGCATCTCATGCAAAATCTTTAGAAGACTTGTGAAGCTTGTATCACTCCAACCGTTGTTTGCTTTTAAGTTAATCAAGTTCAACACAGTGGATAGTTTAGTAAATTTTATACACCTAGTGTACAACGATTTCTCTGATTCATCAAATAATTGTTGAAATTTTTCATAATCATCTTTAGCAACATTGTCTTCACAATCATGTAACATTCCAGATAAGTTATCATAGTTGTTATCGTCTGTATCATCAATATCACCATTATACTCTAAAGCAGTTGCATTATGATCAACCAATATCTCACCATGTCGTGACCAACATGTATAATCTCTCATAAACCGACGAACTATCAAATGCTCTTCTATTTTGGAAGAATCAGTGTACATACAACGATTCTGACAATCTACACAAGGACACCATATGTAGCTTTCTCCTTTATTCACCCTATTCTCCTGTCCAACTTTAAGAAAACCACTCAAACATGCCAAATATTCATCACATGAACGTTTAATTCTATACATCCAGTAACTATGATCCATCTGTTATTACATAAAAGATATATGAATAACATGCATGTAGGATAACATATGCATTTAAAGGCACATGTAATGTACATAATACAAAGTTAATCATAGAAAAATATTATCGAGCACTTGAAAGTAGTAAAAATACCTTGTTTTTATTTGTTAGATAAGATAAATATATCTATTATGATTCAATAAGTTTCAATATGTATTCCTATGATTCAAATATAATGACGTAGATTTAAAAAAACCAACATACTTAATTATAAAATATAATGAGTTATTATGTAAACCAATATATTTTTCTATACCTTTATAAAATATTAAAATATTTTGTCATAAATTTTTAACGTTTGCATCAGTTAAAAATATACCACATTCTACACATAAAAATATACCATTTTCCATGCATAAAAATATAAATAGTTTTCTAGAATTAAACAAATAAACTAATAATCATTATTGATGATATTTTGTAATATAATTGTTTTTATATATTTATAGACGTGCTTAACATTTAATGTTTTGTTATTATTATTTTTTTTAAAGTTTGAAACAAATAAAAAAATTTAAATATTTTAAAACAATTTGATAAAATAATATAATATTTTAACATAACTCCTATTATCATTATAATTGAGATATATTAAATAACAATTAAAATAAAGACGTTAATTAAGAAAGAAGTCGTAAAACAATAAATAAGTCAATATAAATATTAACTTTAGTGTTGTTTATTATATATATTAAGGGATATATGGGATAATATATGTTATAAAATTAGAAAAATTAATTAATATTTAATAAAAAAAAAAAATATATGACAAGTTACAAATGAATGATACGGAATGTGTCAAAATGTTAGGGTTTCATAAGGGTTGACTAACCGACTTTTATAGATATCACAAATCTCATAAAAACCCTTTCGACACAAGAAGGCGGGACTTTTACCGGAAGGCGGGACTTTTTCCGCCAAATATTTCATCATCTTTAATCTTTTATAAAGACCCATTCTATACATGATAATGAAAAAAGGGAGAGACCGAGACGAAAGACAGACAGCGGAAGAAAGATTCATCGTCCCAGTTAATCTACTCTCCTAGTAGAATCTTGTTATAAACTCTGTCCTAAGTGTGAATATAAGGAATGCAGAAGGATCTTGAATTTTACATTAATTTTAGGTAATAATTCTTTAGTTTATGTCGTATTCAACTAAAATCATGTTTATTGAAACAAAATTTCGGTTTTATGGTATTTAGTCAACACAATTTGAGATTTTCAGTCCTAACGCTGTTTTGGATTTTCAGTTCTACTTACATGTAAAGAAATTTATTTTCTAATTTGAGAGTTACTTTGAATGTGTTGTTGATTGTTGGTGCCAGAGATGAAAGGGGCTGTGTCGATGTTATCTTTAATTCCAAGGGATATTGCGAAGGCTACAATGAGACTAGAAATAACTTTGATTGTTGAGGAAACCGAATCTTTGCAATCTTCTATGCCCTTAAAAGCTTCAGAATTTGTTAAACTTTATCTGTAAGTTTTCTAATTTAAAACATTAACCGACTCAGATGTGCAAATTTGAGTAGAATAGGGTTAAAAATACATACTTAAGACTTAATGAAGAAGAGTATGTGTGTTGTAGCCTATAGTTTTCTTCTCCTTCATACGGAATTTATCTATTTTTTGAATATATAACTAAACTGTAAACTTATCTTATCATATAATCGAATGTAGTTGCAAAGAAGTGGAATTAATTAGAAGTACGCACCTAACTAGGATTATATACTTACAAATCAGCTTCGATCTTTTTGTTCACTTGGTTTTTTGTATATGCTAATTGATGAACAAATACAAGTCTCTTCATGTGTTGTCTCTTCTTTTTACGTGTGTGTAAATAGAAGAATAAATAGCAACTAATTAGATAATCATATGAATCAGCAACAGTTATCTTTAAGATTTGTTTTTTTATCAATATCTATAACTTTAAAATTCAAAGTTTATTCATGATCGCTTAATCTTTTGAGTGTAGCCTATCTATTATTTTCACTACTAGAAAAATACCCTTTAATGACGCGTGAACCGTGACACGCAGTATTTTATGATACGCAAATGTGTGTGCCCTAAAAATAATGTTATCTCTCCAAAAATTAGAAGGATTTAGGTCACGTACTTTTGCGCGCCCTAAAATAAGTGTCACATTGAAAGAAAAAAAAACATGGAGGGCACGTAACATAAAATGGGCGTCGTGTAACCATGTCGCTTTATATTTTTCTAATGAAACGCAGGATCTCTTCTCTGGGGGGAAATGAAATTTTGAAAAGTTTGAAAGGCCCGCCGTGCTATTACCTTCTTTCCACTTTTCTTCTCTCTCTTACTGAAATACCCCAAAAAAACCCTAAGTCATCACCAAATCTCCGATCTCCCACCGGCAAAATGTCTCCACCTACTCTCTACCCTCACAATAATTCTCTCAATTAAAAACACAAAAACCCTCAATCAGATAACCATGGCTACTTCTCCCTTCCTTATCTTCTCAAAAACCCAAAATTTCTTTAACTGTAAATCAATTGCGAATCCGACCCGAAGACCCGTACTCCGAGCTCACTCTCCTTCCGGAAGATTCTACACCTCGCCATCGTCAAACTCGTTTGCTTCCTCCAATTCCTCCTTCTCGTCGAGCCCATCGTCGTTCTTTTAGAACCGATCTGTATCACCTACACGTGTCAATGTATACAGATCATCTCTATCGGCGTCGAATATACGATTTTCTCTCAACAATCGTCAAATTTCTCCGAGTCGTTCGATCTCTGTAATTCCGAGGCGTAATAATAGTAATCAAGCATCAAAAAAGCAGTTGGATAAACCAAGGAGGATGTGTATGTGTTCTCCTACTTCGCATCCAGGTTCGTTTAGTGTTTGATTCTAGTGTAAAGATGATTTATCTTCTATCTTTTACATGCTATATGATCCTCATATACCAGAGTTAGAAAAATTTCTACACAAGGATTTGTTCTTCCCTTCTAACAAATTTTCTGATGCATTTCATGAAGATTATGTAGGCAAGGTGTTCGATGAAATGCTAGTAGACGATTTTTGGTATGAACTAAAAGCCATCAGATGGTATCCTGTTTCTGTTGACCCACCTTTGACCGGACTTCCATGGTTAGTGCCAGATAATACATGTACACACATAATACATGTACATAGATGGTATTTTGTTTCGTTTTCCTATTGTTTTTTTAGTTTGCAATTGTACACACATATAGGTATACATACATGCATATGTATACATACATACATTGATAGAAATACATGTATGTATGCATATAGATACATGTATGTATGCATCTATGTGTGCCTCCTTGTCATTTTTTGGCTATTTCGAAAAAAAATAATAATGAAGATGGATATATCATAGACATGATCAGAGTTGCTTCATGAATGCAGTTCTCAAATGTAGGTTCTCTTGAACTTCATGGATTTGCTAGAAACAGATTATGGAGTGTTGACAATGACTCCCCTCCCTTCCCCACTAATCCCACAAATAATGTTTTCATTGACTTGATCTTCAAGTCCACTGAAGATGATTTGAAGACATGGCCTCACAAGTGACCTTAATTGCACCCCTTTTTATCCACTAAACATTCTTATATATAACATATTCTTTTCAATTCAGGTCTGTGTCACACTTGCTAGGAATGTTGGAGAGATGCGAACACAAACAGAGTTGCTTCCCCAATGTTGGGAGCAAGTGAGGATACCTAGATTTCATTTTATTGTTTTATTGTTTTGTGATTTTCTTTATTTATTTATTTTTATTTAATTTTATGGAGATTAGTCACATGTATGAGGAAAGCAGGCTGCTTGTAGCTCAATCATGTGGGGAGCTTGCAGAATTTGTGAGGCTAGATTCGAGACTCCCTCATCCTATCTATTGTGCAACAACTCATAGAGGATTCTGCCACTGTAGTTCGTGAGGCTGCTGCAAGAAATCTGGCTTTGCTGCTTTCACTCTTCCCAACTATGGATAAATATATCAAGGTCAGCATCAGCATCACTAAATATGATTCTAGAGGCTATCATGGAGAAACAAATCTTTTTGACTTGACAGGGTTTCCATTTCCTATAATGTAAGCTATAACATGGTTTCTCTTTTGATTCTGGTAATGTTTATATTCACCAAGTCACCCAATTATAGCAATGAAATTTCTTTTTATTGGGATTACGTTGCTATAATTGGCTAATTTCCAAACTGAAATGCTACAATAAGAAGGAATGAATGTTATAATAACTTATGTTTCAATTTTTTGTTATGATAATGAAGGTTCAACTCTTTTTCCAATTTGTACATCTAACTTTGTTATAACTAATGGGTTGGTGTAATGTTTTTATGAAAACAGGTGGGTTTAATACCAAGACATCCATCAATCATACAGGATTGTTAGCATACATCAATCTCTAAGTAATAATCTTATGGAGAATCGATTGCTGGAGCAGGCACAATTCGGGGTTTTGGACAAGAAAAGGTTCATGAAGAGGAATCGATTGCTGTAACTTGTTGGTTTAATAATCAGGTATTGTGGGATTGGCTGTGACTTATGGGTAACCACTACTTTTGATAGTTGTGGTTGGAACTGGTACAACAAGCATATAGGCTGGTTTTACGAGTATGTTTCTTTGATATTAGTGATTGTTTTCCAGCTTTAGTGTAAAAATGTTTTTGGTTATTAAAAAGAAACATTTTCATGACTTTTTTTTTTTTTTGAAAATGCTTTGAATTATTGTATGTTTAACCATTGTATTTCTTTTGAGTTTTTGTCTCTTTATATTATAAGGGCTATATATTTGGGATGTTATGTTTAAGCATAATTAATCTGTTTTTTTTTTTTGGTTATATTGTTTTGTTTTGTTGTTTAAACTTTCCCTCATTTAACTAGTTTGAAAATTTTAAAATATTCTGATTCCATTTCTTAGTAATTACTATATATGATTCTGTTTTCCTAATTACCTGAGTAGCGTGTCTGTAAATTTTTGATTATTAATAAATAAATAAATATATAAGATGGATGATTTTGTAGGAAGAAACTGATAGGTGAGGCAAAGGCTACTTTTATCCCACGAGTTCCAGAGGTGTTGAAAACAAGTCTGATCAAGCACATTAGAGCTCATGTGGATCCATGAAACAAGTCAACAAGAATAGGAGGTAAATTTTGTTTCTTTTTTTTTTAATCTTTTAACCCATCATCAGATATTCTGCTGGATCAATTGGACTTGTTTTCTCTTTTGAATCAGCTTCATTTATGTTTTAATTATCTTAATCATGATAAAGGAGAAATCTTTGTTGACCATAATAGTTATCTATGAAACTAAGAAGGTTTTGAAACAAGTTGTAGAGAATGTCTTAAAGGAGGTTGCATCCTTTTCCAGTAACTGGCTTTGTTTTACAATCTACCTAAATTAAAAGTCTTGTCTGAGCTTTTCAATTCTGCCTTGAATTTTGATGCATCAGGTGGAAGGAAGATCTTTCCAAGGAACCACAAGTAGAACAGGAATTGATGCTTGTGATGCTTAATGTCAATCAAACAACATTGCTCCTAATAGCAACAGCAACAACAACAACAACAACACTAACACTACCATTAATGGCCCACTAGATTCCGGGTAAGTTGCATAAAATAGCAACATACTATTACTTTTTTTATAACAAGACATGTGATATTGTGTAGTTTATGATGATTTGTGATAAAGTTGGTTAATAGAGGAGGAAGTGTTGCTTCATCTTTGTTCCAAAATTATTTATATTTCCTGTAATGCATCTTACATTTTCCCTTTTTCACTTTATATAATTTACAATTCCATTATATTTATATGTAGATGAGTAGTGTTGCAGTTAAGGCTCCTACACCAGGTTAAGTGGTATATTCTTCTTAAAAATTTGCTTTAAATGGCTACTTTCATTCCTTGTGATCTGAGGTACACCAACTTTATATTAACTTTCTTTTATTAAATAAAAAATCAAAAAGTTTATAATTATGATAATCACACTTATTATTTCATTTTTACCAAAAGGGAATCATGGTAACAGTTGTTTGCCCTGGGCCAATAGAGACATCAAATGCACCTGCTACAAGCACATCATCGAAGGAGGTTAGTTTCATATCATGTTCCATCACCTGCCTGATATTTGTTATAAAGGGAAAAACTCCAACAAACTATGCCCATTGTTTCATATTAGGTCCTTATGGGTTGGCAAAAAGCAGGTTTACCGGTTAAGTCAACTTTAAAATGTTGACTCTTCTATAGCCACAAAAATACTTGTTCAAGGACCTAATGTGGACAAAAAAAGTTTCCTGACTAATCTGGGACAACAGGTATAGTTTGTTGGAGTTTTTTCCGACTTTACCCCTGTTATAAATTCAATGGCATGTTGATTATTTTGTATCGTAGATAGATAAAATCTGATGAACACTAGGATATTTGTGTCTTTGTTATACATACAGATTAGAAAGGTAGATCCGACTTTGGACATGGAGGTTGATGAAGGAGACAATTACACACATATTCCAGTAAGAAACATAAATTTTTTAGTTTTATAAGAATGTATAACCCATGCATGTTAGCAATGTATTATTTTTCTTTAACATTTGAATGATTCTTTGTATGACATATTGTAATTTGTGCAATTTATTTTATTTTTTGACTTTGAAATTTTATTTTATATTATGCAATGGATTGCATTTTTTGTATATGGTATTTTATTTCTATTATAAGAGATTAAATGAAAATTTAATTTAAAAATTAATAAATATATAAATATATATATTTTCTATTATGAGACATGAAATGCAAATATTATTTGAAAATCAATAAATCTATAAATATTTTTTTTTAAAAAAAAATTTAAATTACGATATGCAAAAATGTGTGTCGTCTTCATTTATGACATGGCCTTTCTTGACAGGGGCTTCCTTGATACACATTGCGTGTCATAAACATGCGCATCGTAAGGTTACGACATGCAAATGTGTGTCTTCTTCCTTTATGATAGGGTCTTCCTTGATACGCATTGCATGTCATAAATGCGTGTCATAAATGTGTGTCGTAAATGCGCGTCATCTGTCTTTATGACAGGGCCTTCCTTGACGCGCATTTGCGCGTCGTCTGAGCGTTTTACGACGCGCAATGAGCGTCGTAAAAGGCTGTTTTTCTAGTAGTGTTTGTAGAGTGCATAAATTTCAAAAGAGATAAGGATATGATTAAATAGAGAGCCAACATAGGTCTCATATGTTAAAGAACCCATTTTTTTGTTTAGTATCCCACAAAGATATGCTCATAAAGATGTTGACTATTACTATGTTGTTGCTGCTTAGAGTTTTTGATTGTTGACTTTTCAAGTAACATTTATGAATGTTTACTAAATAGTTATTGAGTTTGATGATTTTCCTTTGGATAGACGTCCGTTCACGAGAGTTGGTTGCCTTTTCATGATAGTTAGTTGCTATTCTGGTGCTACTAATTGGGTGGCTGAGAGATAACTTCATCCCTTCATATTTAACTTGACCATTTTGCCCCTAGTGCTATTTGGGTGAAATTCAATTGTTTTTTTTTGTGCTACCTGTTATTAGCTCAAGGTTCCATATGCGCAATACATACATCATGTAAGCATGTGCTTATAGTTTTCATAGTGTGTTGCAGAATGCCTTATGTCGTACAATGGAAACCTATTCTGATACTAATAGGGAAATACTAGCACAACATGTTCCCAAACCAAGAGTAATGTGGGTATACTCTAGAAGGTCAAAACAGTCATTTGAGAAGAGAGAGAAATGAGAATATAAAGAAAGGAGTGGTGTGAGGTGTAAGAATTGTACTGTGGCTCTCAGTATCATTCATGATAGAGAGAAGGGAACATTCCCTGGTTTATGATTTTAGTTGCTTAGAAATACAATCATTCAATTTTCTCTTCATTTTATCAAGTATTCATTACTTTCCATTGATTTATTATTTCTTTACACTACAAATCTGCTCTCTCTGTTTACTACTTATCATACTCCAAAGTAAAAAAGAAGACTTTTTATATGCAAATACATCAGCAGGTTTGTGTTTGTGTTGTTCAAAATTAATTGGCTTTGTGTTTCATGATAATATACTTATAATATATTCTCTTAAAGTTATGTGGATTTGATCTTGTTTTATATATCATCTTCTCTTTTTATATATTCATTTTTTCCATTTCTTTTAGCTGATGATGCAGTATCATTGGGAATATGTTCAAAAGAACCAGGTTGATGAAAAATGGGTTCAATTATGGTACTGTAATTCATGTATTAGCATTTTAAGGCTCGGTTCTTTTAAAGAAAACTGGTTGTATTACTTTTACTTAAATCCCCGGTTGTTGTGAAAGAAACCGAGTTTTTTAGTTACACAATAGATCCCAGTTTCTTAATGAAAAACGGGTCTTATAAAGTTTGCCTTTATTAAATCCGATTTTTGTATATTAGAACCCGATTTTTTAAACAACCGGATCTTATGAGGTGCCTTTTGTGCGCCCATTTGTAGTAGTGACATTTATGATATAGTGTGGTTACTCGAAATCCATACAACCACTTTAA